GGACATGGACACGGCGGGGAACAAGGCGAATTTTTATTTTTGTATATTTTTATGTGTTATGTAGATTCATATTACATTCATTCTAAATCACAATTAACAAACACTAACATAGTAACATTAATTCAATAAATATAAGAGAGGCAAAAGATTCAACATCCAACATCCAACAAAGGCAGATTGTGTGTTATTGACAGAATTTGAACTAGACATTTTTCCTATTAATTAATATTAACATTAGAAGGATTAAAAAAAAAAAAGTTTACATACTGTATATATATATAAACCTATAATTCATTTTTTTTTAAAAACTACAGTTTTAGATATATAAACATATAATTACAAAAAAAAAAAAATCTTACATATATATAAATTTATATATAAAAGGATAAAGAAATAAAAATCAAAATAACTTATATATAAACGTATAAAGAAATAAAAATTAAAATAACTCTTACATATATATATATATATATATATATAAACGTATAAAAAAAATAAAAATAAAAATAAAAATCAGTGTTTACCTTCGAAGTCGAAAACAGACCACACAGAGAGAGGGCTTACCTTCGAAGTCGACTGGATCGGAGATCGAAGACGACTGGATCGACAGAAACAGAGACTGAGACGACTTGATCGAAGGTCTTCGATCGACTTCGGAGGGCTTTGATCTACTTCGCAGGGTTTCGACTGAGAGAGTGAGCTTCGATCGACTTCAGAGGGCTTCGACTGAGAGAGAGAGCTTCGATCGACTGAGAGAGAGAGGGCTTCGACTCAGAAGGTCTTCGCAGGTTCACTCTATTTCTTCACCCTCAGTTTTTACTTTTTAAATATTACACTTTGACCCCAAATACATATAACAAATTCAAAAAAGAGCCCCACCGTGTCCCATAGCGTGTCCAGATGTGGACATGCGTGTCCCCGCCGTGTCCTCTTTCAAAAAAAAAACCATTAAATTAAAGGGACACGCCATCCGGCGTGTCCCGTACATGTCCCCGGCGTGTCCACGTGTCGGATACTGCCACGGCACCAATTTTGGAGTGTCCATACTTCATAGCTCATGACTGAGTCCCTAGGCCCTGCACTTGGCTTAGGCAAGCTATAAAGTATTTCAGGGTTTAAGTCTGGAGTCAAGTGCAACCTTGGTAAGCGGCTGAGGTGAAGGTGAGATGAGTGAGCCAATGAGCAGGGGAGCTTCCGAGTTGAGGCCAAGTGGACAATGTAGAGTGGTGCCTAGGTGAGGCACCCAAGTGTGGGAACAATTGTGATGCCATTGTGAAGCCTCTAGGCAAGCAAACTAGCAAGGCAATGTTGTGAGACAAGGCTTGTGCTCAATGGTTGTGGGGTCCATCCCCTTAGTGATGCTGATTGCTGACATGACTTCCATATACCTACAGGATGTACATGCAGCTAACTTTCAGCTCTATGTAATTGTTGTGTTATTGTATGTAGGAGACAGATAAGTTGCTATACCACTTATCTTTCCGCATGATGGGGCTAGTTTGTATAATGTGTTTGATTTGCTTCCTCTAAGTTAGAATGTGATACAGTAGTTTCAAGAAGGTCTTCGCAGGTTCACTCTATTTCTTCACCCTCAGTTTTTACTTTTTAAATATTACATTTTGACCCCAAATACATATAACAAATTCAGAAAAGAGCCCCGCCGTGTCCCATAGCGTGTCCAGATGTGGACATGCGTGTCCCCGCCGTGTCCTCTTCCAAAAAAAAAACATTAAATTAAAGGGACACGCCATCCGGCGTGTCCCGTACGTGTCCCGGCGTGTCCCCGGCGTGTCCACGTGTCGGATACTGCCACGGCACCAATTTTGGAGTGTCCATGCTTCATAGCTCATGACAGAGTCCCTAGGCCCTGCACTTGGCTTAGGCAAACTATAAAGTATTTCAGGGATTAAGTCTGGAGTCAAGTGCAACCTTGGTAAGCGGCTGAGGTGAAGGTGAGATGAGTGAGCCAATGAGCAGGTGAGCTTCCGAGTTGAGGCCAAGTGGACAATGTAGAGTGGTGCCTAGGTGAGGCACCCAAGTGTGGGAACAATTGTGATGCCATTGTGAAGCCTCTAGGCAAGCAAACTAGCAAGGCAATGTTGTGAGACAAGGCTTGTGCTCAATGGTTGTGGGGTCCATCCCCTTAGTGATGCTGATTGCTGACATGACTTCCATATACCTACAGGATGTACATGCAGCTAACTTTCAGCTCTATGTAATTGTTGTGTTATTGTATGTAGGAGACAGATAAGTTGCTATACCACTTATCTTTCCGCATGATGGGGCTAGTTTGTATAATGTGTTTGATTTGCTTCCTCTAAGTTAGAATGTGATACAGTAGTTTCAAATGCACAATAGATCTTCTTTTCACTCTGTAGATGGTTATATATGGAAAACTAGCATTGACATCTAAATGTTTAATTTGCATTCAGAAACACTTTTCGTGAATTTTGGTGAATGCCCCACCTGTTCCTAACTCTTTATTTATCAGTTTTTTTATTCATTGTTTTTGTTGTCTTGGGAAATGGAAAGAATGGAATGTATAAGAGGAAAATGTTGTGGTTCAGATCTGAGGAATTTTACATTTTGGATCTGTCAGGGGATTTTAGATTACCAAGGTATTAATGGAAGTTTTATCTTTTCCTAATGTTGTATATACGAGTCTTATGTAGAATTCTGGTTTGCATGAGGGTTGATTATGGCATAGAAATAATATCTTGAAATTTTTTCTAGACTTGGGCTGGGACTGGGGACTTCCCAAAGTGACAAAATATATGCAATAATTTTTCTCTGCTATTCTAAATCACCCTTTGTCCTTGCTTCATTCTTGGCACAACGTTAATAATCCAAATCTGACCCACTGGTTGATCCTTGTGATTATGACAAAATTGCAGTCTTGTTATTTTTGTTATCAACATCTGATCCATGAACTAATAATGTCAGACCCACAGATTAAAGTGCTCCTTGGTGATTATGATGCTATTCATGTTCGTCGAGGCGATATATTAAAAACTAGGAAGGACAGATTGGGGGTTGATAGGAGTGTACATCCCCATGTTGACAGGGATACGCGGCCGGAGTTTATTCTCTGTAGAATCTCAAAATGGGTCCCACCAGGACGGACACTTTACATTGCTTCAAATGAGAGGACACCTGGTTTCTTTTCACCTCTCTCTGTCCGGTAATATAATCTTTTGTAGCTTTAGTTCTTTATTCTCTTAAACTGCTGAGTATTTGTTCTAGCAGGAACAGATACGAATTTTTTTTGAAAAATGTAGGACACAACACGTGGGGGATACGTGTAAAATATATAATTTTATATATTTATTCTAGGTCAAATATGTTTCTCGTCATATTCATCAACCTTAGGTTTGCTACTCTAATGAAAAAAATAAGAACTAGGACACTGGTTGTCTCCAGTGTGTCCGACATGTGTCAAGAAGAAATGTAGGGATGAAACGTGTCGGACACTTGTACGCGACCTCCGGAGAGGTGTCCGTGCTCTATAGGTCATGAGAATTCATTTGGTCACTTGTCCTTAGGAAAGCTTGAAATTTGTTAGTACTACTAAAACAAAAAAATTCTTAGATGTCTCATAATGGCAACTGAATGTTGAAACTTATGTATTTATGTTGAAATTCTGTGTTTTGAAGCATTGTATTGCTGTTGACAAATGTTTGCAGGTATAAATTGGCGTATTCATCGAATTATAGCAGTATCTTGGATCCACTGATTGAGAACAATTACCAACTGTTTATGATAGAAAGGCTTATCATGATGGGAGCCAAAACATTCATTAGAACATTCAAGGAAGATGATACCGATCTCAGCCTTACTGACGATCCAAAGAAAAATACCAAGACATGGCAAATTCCTGTTTATACCATGGATGGAGAAGGATGCTGATTGGTCTACCTTTGAATGCTTCAAATTTTTTGTATGATTCCATCCATCACCTTCCCATAGTGATTACTCAATTCTCTTGCCCCAATCGCAATTCTTCAACATAGTTGAGCGAGAACTGCTTTGTGAATCAAATTGTTGGGCTATGCATGGATGTGAAGATTGTGAGGTGATTGGTTTACACAGTGTAAATTGGCTGTCCAGATTACGATACAACATGTTTTGCGGTTTATATACTAACAATTCATACTGAAAATTTGAGCAGCCCAATTATTTTGATTAATCTTTTTGGTTACTTGTTTAAGGGAAATGCAGATGAACTCACCCAAAAAATAAAAATAAAAATGTTAATGCAGTTGTCATTTGTTTTGGAATTCATTGAATGTGTTATCAAGAATTGGTTTTTACTTTCATTGATCTGTTTTGGAATTTTTATTTATTTATACAGCATTCAGTACAGAAAATTTAGATTTTTACTAATTTTAACTTGTGGATCTTTCGGTTTTTAGTATTACTTGATGGAATAGTTGATTTTTGTGCATGTCAATCACTGAAACAAGTATTTTTTAACTTATTATTTTCTTTTTTGTAAAGTTGTGCTTTTCAAAACATGATGTTTTGAAAATAAGAGTCTGAGGCTCTATTTATTTCTCCGTAATTACACCCTGATAAATTTAAAGTCGTTTTTTATTTTTATTTTTAAATACTTGCAACAAATATATTTTAAAAACCTGTGAAATTGGTTTAAAAAATAAAAAAATAAAAAAATAAAAAACCCTTTGTGCAGTTACTACGTAAACATTGTTGTTCTGAAATTTTCTATCATGCAATTTATTATTATTATTATTTTAGTTTAACAAACACAAGATTATTAGAACAATTAATTATTAATGAGTAAAGTCAAATAATGAAATGGTTTTTTATTACTAAAATTCACTTTGTCACATAAAGTGATAAATTTTACTTATTAAACAATTTAATTGAAAAATATAATCTAATTACCATTAAATCGGTCCTAGCTATTGAAATTTGCATCCTATTTATCAACGGCAGTGCTACGTAGCTCGAAATCCCTCCCCCCGAATCCCCTGAACCAAAAACGACGCCGTTTTTGTTTTGTTTTGTTTTGTTTTTTTTTGCAGATCAGAAGCAGGAAGAAGAAGAAGGAGGGAGGGGGAGGAGGAGGAGGGACTAGAGAGGGCCCAACAAATGGGGCTGGAGGCGGAGGCCGGGGGCGGAGGCGGCAGAGGCAGGGGCTGGGATATTTTAAAAACCTGTGAAATTGGTTTAAAAAATAAAAAAATAAAAAACCCTTTGTGCAATTTGTTGTTCTGAAATTTTCTATCATACAATTTATTATTATTATTATTATTATTTTAGTTTAACAAACACAAAATTATTAGAACAATTAATTATTAATGAGTAAAGTCAAATAATGAAATGGTTTTTTATTACTAAAATCCACTTTGTCACATAAAGTGATAAATTTTACTTATTAAACAATTTAATTGAAAAATATAATCTAATTACCATTAAATCGATCCTAGCTATTGAAATTTGCATCCTATTTATCAACGGCAGTGCTACATAGCTCGAAATCCTTCCCCCTGAATCCCCTGAACCAAAAACGACGCCGTTTTTGTTTTGTTTTGTTTTGTTTTGTTTTGCAGATCAGAAGCAGGAAGAAGAAGAAGGAGGAGGAATGATGAGGGGGAGAAGGAGGAGGAGGGACTAGAGAGGGCTCAACAAATGGGGCTGGAGGCGGAGGCCGGGGGCGGAGGCGGCAGAGGCAAGGAGCTGCTGCTGCGACGATCAGACCTGCTCGACGATCGGCAGGTCGGCTGCGGCAAGGAAGGCCCTCTCCATTCCCTCTTCTCTTTCACTCTTCTCTTTCTCTCCTCCCGTTCCTGAGCTGATCGAAAATAGAAGAAAAAAAAGAAGAAGAAAAAAAAAAAGGCTAATGCCCAAAACGATTCGGGAGGGGGGTGAAAATTCTCGAGCTATCAAACATTATTCATTTATCAATTCATAAAATAATTTACGAACAAAAAAAATTATAAAAAAATTACAATATTTTTGAAATTATAAGATAATGATGAATATTTTGATTGAAATGTAAATTACAATTGCCCTAACAATAAAAACAGTCACGGATACACACAAACTCACCGATCGTGAGAGCTGGGGAGAGAGAGATCGCTTTCACTAGCCGGTAAACTGACCTTCATTCGCCGGAAAAATCAAAATTTCAGGTTCGGTTTTGATTTGATTTGATTTTCTATTTTCTATTTAATTTCTTTCATTGATTTGATTGCATACTAGTAGTTCCTAAATCGAACACAATATAGAGATTGGAGTAAAAATTTTGATTGAATGATCATGCTCTCCGTTTGGTTGCTCAGAAAATGTAGCTGAATACAGAAAATAAAATGTTGAATGTCAAAAATCGAAAGCAACAATCAACTGAACCTAAAACATAATGCTTAGAGTTTATGATTTCAGTGTTTCTTTTAATGGTTTTGTTTTGATAAAATTACAGATATATGTAAAATTTGAGTGGAATTTATAATAGGATTTCCTTTTGTTAAATGGATTGCAAAATCTTTGATTTCCAGATTCAGTTTTGATGTAAAATTTGATTCAGAATTGTACTATAATAGTGAGAAAAAGATTTATACTTGAAGTTTTGACAGGAAAAGATAATCTAGGGTTTCGGTTAGAACTGTATTGACTGTGATATGCCGCATCTGGTACGTGAGAACTTATATATTGGCAACATTAGTGACGCTGCAGAGGTTCTTCAGAATGGTAGTGAGGAAATCACTCATATACTATCAATCCTTAGTTCTGCATCAATATCATTTTTCTCGGAATGGCGTAGTGGTCTATCGATCCCTACTGAAGAGATTTGCAAGGTCTATGCTGGGGACTCAGAGCTTGAGGATGTTTCGGGTGGCAGTTCAAAGAGTTCCTTGTCACCAGAAAAGCTTCTGTACTCGTTGGAGTATGCAGGCAACGATTTGAAATTGGTGAGGATGGCTGTACCGCTGAGAGATACTGAGAATGAGAATTTGTTGGATTATTTGGACGTGTGTTTGAATTTCATCGATAAGAGTCGAAAAGAGGGGTCTGTGTTGGTGCATTGCTTTGCTGGTGTATCAAGAAGGTACATTTATGTATTAATTCATTTGTAGATTTTGGTTGTTTTTTGTTGAGGCATGTTGCAAATTTACAATTGATGCTTCTTTTTATATGGAAAATTTCGTCTCTTTGTCGTTAATGATTGGGCATGCATTATTTTGAATGCATTGCCCAGCATAATTTGCTCTATAATAGTAGGGTTTTGTTAATGAGTGCCCTTAGGGCACTTGATAAGAAGGTTGAAATGCTTGTACATAATGCATGGGAGTGCGTGCAACATGTAATGTACAATCAATTTAAACATTGTTAGCCAATACCCTTAGGGCACTCGTTAACCAAACCCATAATAGTATTATGTTCACAGCACAGGAGAAGCCCCTGAAAATCTTATTCCCAAAATTCAGTTCAATCAATTCCTAACCAATCCTAAACCTTGTTACACCACATTTTAATTTGACTAACCTTGTTTGATTTCCCTAAACCCTGGTTCTACATCAATGCATTGGTGCTATATTTTACGTGCACAAAATTATAGCTTTCTCATATTCAGAGGCACTTCGACATCCTAGTCACATATATTCTTCCGTGAGTAAGTGCTTCCAAGGTCCATAGAAACCTCTTTTCTCTCATGTCAGTCTTCTGATGAATGTCAATATACTATTGAAGGCATATATTCTAATAGCTTTAGTTTTCTGTTTTATCAAGTTCTAACATTCTACGCCCTTGTCTGTGTGTATTCATTGCAGTGCAGCTATCATTACTGCGTATCTGATGAGAACTGAACAACTATCTCAAGAAGGTTTGAAGAAATTAGTATTGTGGTTCTATATGTTAGTGTTTGCTTGTGGGCTTCCATTTTTTGGCATTTTGAAAATCTGAATGGTGGTGATGAGATTGATAATAACCTCATATTTGTTTTATCATTTGCACATCATTGCAGATGCACTTGAATCTTTACAGAAAAGCTGTGAATTTGTTTGCCCCAATGATGGTTTTTTGGAACAGGTGATGCAAAGCAATTTTTCTTGAAATTCTGTTTTATAAGCAGTGTTGCAAAAAGTGCTTCTAAGTTTTCCCTTTCAATGTGTTTAGCTTATCATGGACTCTAGATATTTTCTTCTTTCCCTTGCAGCTAAAAATGTTCGAAGAAATGGGTTTCAAGGTTGACCACGCTTGCCCTATATACAAACGCTTCCGTTTGAAAGTATTAGGTCTGAATCTTATTTACTTGTCGTTTATATTCTTTTTACGTTTTTTATATTTGATTTTTGAGGGTTACTTTTGTAGATATATTTGCTTTGCTTTGTTTCTCCATCTGAAGATTTTTGTGGGTAAACTGTTAAGTTTTGCTTATTGGGGTGACTTGCCACGTCAACTAAAGCATTTTATTCACCTTGTATATTATAAATTTATGTTCACATTTGTAGATAAGTGAATGTTGCGCAGTCAAACCAAGAAAGAGAGAGAAAAAAGGAAAATGTCTACTTGTACATGTTTAATTAATGTTATATGAACATTTATAATTAGAAGCAAAAGTATATTCTGTTATTGGGCTTTCCATTTTCTGAAAAGATGTTGCGCCCCATGATGATAGGCGATTCTTACAATTGTGGAGAAAGAATAGACACTTCTAAATTTGGGGCTGATCCTGGCTTGCCAACAGAAGAGGCCTCCTCCGATGTAGGTACATCTGGGAATAGCATAAGAGTTTCTACTGCTGCATATCGTTGCAAGAAATGCCGGAGAGTTGTTACATTGCAAGAGAATATTGTGGATCATGTTCCAGGAGAGGGGGAGACATCCTTTGGCTGGCATAAGAGGAAAGGCGGCAATCCTTTCAACAAGTGTGATGAGATTGAGTGCTCATCCATCTTTGTTGAACCTCTACGTTGGATGACGACAGGTACAAAACATCAGCCCACTCCCTTCTATTTTGTCTAGAATTTCTGATATCTAGGCATATTGCTGAATAAAGGTGTAGAAATGGATAAACAAGCTATGAAAAGTGGCCAAAGCTTGGGGTCTTTGGGCCCACATTTGATTTTGATGGGTACTTCCAATCAAATAGTTTTGTCGGTTTTTCAATTTAGTGTTAGTGAGGGATTCACAAGATGCTTTAAGAGTCTTATGAAAATCTGTAGAATTCCACGTCGGGAGTAAATGACAAAGATGGTGCAGATGTTCAAAAATGTCTCCCCTCTTAACCTTTTATTTCAAAACGTGTAGTGTCGGTCATTTATTTCGAAATACTAAAAATATATATATAAATTTTATTTAAATATAATATTTCAGTTGGTATCGGTTTAAAATTTTTCAAAACTGAAAAGCAGACTGACCTTATGAAAACACACCAAAAACCAAAATTTTGGTCTCGGACTGTTGGTTTGGTTCCATCTTTGTATTTTATTTTATTTATTTTTTACATCCCTCAAGTTTATGGTTTAATTGGTAATAAGATCATCATTCCTTTGATACTACTTTCAAAAGTCCAAGCCTAGTTGTCTTTCTTTCATTATCAAGGCTATTCATATTTGCTCCAATGAGTCCCATTTTAGATCATCCACTGCAGCATGAAGCCCCTATCTTTTTATTTGTATTTTTTGTGTCGTCACTGTACTATAAATTGCATGCACATGATTTGAAATTTTAGTTTTTGATTCTTGTTACCCCCTTGGCACCAGTTGAAGAAGGTGCATTGGAGGGCAAGCTTTTATGTGTACATTGTGAAGCTCGCTTGGGTTACTTCAACTGGTCAGGCATCCAATGCAGTTGTGGTAGCTGGATCACCCCAGCCTTTCAGCTCCATAAAAGCCGAGTTGACATTAGCACTGTCTGATATTTTTCAACACAGAAGAGGTATGTGTCTATCGCCTTGCTTGAAGATAGAAGATGGTAAAGAGGGGGCTTATATGTACCCCGACATCTACCTAGTAATAATTTTAAATTGTGGTACCAACATCTACCTAGTAATAATTTTAAATTGTGGTACCAATACTATGAGAGCACAGTTTTTGAGTCGAGGGTTGGATGTTTGAGAACTAGTTTATGTTTGCTTGCATTTTGTATGATGTCTTTGACGATCATCAGCTGGGTAGTGATGTTGTAAGTGCGTGGCCTTCTGTGTGGCTTAAGTCATATGATTTTTGTATTTCCACATTCAGGTTTATATGCTTCAGCACTTTGGATTCATTTTTGTCATCCCGGTTCTCTATATGGTATATAGAGTATTTCTTATCATTATAGTTATAAAGCATCACTGGGAGTGGCAGAACAAGAAAATTTAGTCAATAGGGGCGACCATTTACCATAACATTAGATTTTTTTTTGTTTTTTATTTTTTGTTATCAACAATGATAAAATGATATAAACTATGTAAGTTGATAATAAACACAAAAATATAATTATTCATTATTAAAGTTAGAGAAAACTAAGGCAATTTGTTGTCTATATGTATGTGTATAAGGTTATATATATTATATATATGTATATATATGTTTATAAAATGGGGTCATCAAAGCAATTTAAGTATTTGAGGGGGAAATGGAGGGGTTCAGTTGAAAAAAGCAAAAGAGGGGGCAATTTGAAATTCTTTCTTTATTATGGGTAAAAATAAGAATATTTAAATTTTGAGGAGGGGCAGCTGCTGCAGCCACTGATTTCACTGGAGAAGCTATGTAATTCTAATAGAATAGACAGAGAGTAAAATCATACTTTGTTCTATCAAAAATGTTAGGAACATACAAAACGAAAGAAGAAGAAAATCACAAACACTCACATGATATAACACATTTATAATATTTAGGTTCATGGATTAATACCACTACACTTATTCTAAAGACATTCACCATATTAATATGAACATTGTTAAACATAGCTACTCTTTATATGCAAAATATTTTGCTGAAATAAAATAGCAGATAGGGTGGTGACCTAACAACATCAGTGTTGGGACGGGGACGAAGTAAGAATATTGTAAGAATATTTACTAGGGCATTGACAGTCTGTGTAAGAGTGAGGAGGATAAAACCAGCTGCAATAGCGGCAACAGTAACCCATATATTTTTGAAGTAATCACGCTTCAATGAAGCTACTCTTCTCTTCCACCATCTCTTGCAATGAGCGTTCACTTTGCTGCACATTTCAGCATAGTAGAACTGATCCGTGATCATTCTTTCTTGTCATCATTGAGCCAATTGTCAAGAATGTCATGGTGACGAAGTTGGTACACATCTTCTTCGGAGTTGATAAGTAGATCCATGAAGTACGTATAATTGGAGAAATATTTGGTTCGTCATCTGAGGAATGTTGCTCATAGGCAATGATGTTATGGAAGAATGTTTCTGTCCAATCATCGACGTTAAACTTTGGTATTTTAAAATGACCATGTTCAAAGTAGATATCGAACATGCTGAGGTTGAGCTCATCATCATCCTCTTCAGCCCCAAACTTGACACCAGAGTCCTGAAGCCCAATCACACACGGTATTTTATAGCAAGTTCTCTGATTATAAATGAACTTAGAGTTGTTGTTTTGGCAGTCATCAGACTCATCATCTCCAGAGGGGGGAACAAAAACATTATGCACCAAGTCAAGAAAATGCTTGCTTTTAGAAAGAGGCATATTTTCAAAATTAATTCTGTGAATGTCACTCTCTCTTGGTAGCGTGCAAGCAACAGAATGAATAGCCAGCTCCGTTAGTGTGGGGCTAGGATGATTCTGCTTTGGATTTTGGGTCATGGACATAGTCATGCTGTAGCTCATGTCAAAAAATTCAGTTATAACAAACAATGGAAGTTGATTTTCAAGTAGCATCAAATCATTGCAAATTTGTCTTCTCATCCATGTTACTTTGACAATAGGGTCATCATCACCCACATCTTGTGAATGTCTTCGTCGTTGATGATGATACTAACATCAAATGCAATCGCACCAAAAAGAAACTCGATAACAAAGCAAGCATCATATAGCATCATTTTCATGAATTAATCACTGTTGAGGTGGTCAAGTGGGTTTGCATAATACTTGCAAGTGCTGTTTTCTAACTTCTTCATACAATCCAAGTAAAGCTCTACACTTTGATTGTTGTTACGTTGGAGCAATTCCAAATAACGCTCTTTATGTTTTTCCATAGCAAGTAATTTGGGTTGACAATGGTGGTAAGGCCCTATAAAAACTAGCAAAGATGTGTATGCCTTTTCATTTGCATGACGCAGTCCTACATGTACTTTGAAGATACAAGGTGGTTCATAGGACAAAGGTTCTCTTTCTTCAATGTTGATGGTGGTATGTTTTATACAAATGTTTCAAAGTGGGATGGAACAACATACCACCATCAACATTGAAGAAAGAGAATCTTTGTCCTATGAACCACCTTGTATCTTCAGAGTGCATGTAGGACTGCGTCATGCAAATGAAAAGGCATACACATCTTTGCTAGTTTTTATAGGGCCTTACCACCATTGTCAACCCAAATTACTTGCTATGGAAAAACATAAAGAGCGTTATTTGGAATTGCTCCAACGTAACAACAATCAAAGTGTAGAGCTTTACTTGGATTGTATGAAGAAGTTAGAAAACAGCACTTGCAAGTATTATGCAAACCCACTTGACCACCTCAACAGTGATTAATTCATGAAAATGATGCTATATGATGCTTGCTTTGTTATCGAGTTTCTTTTTGGTGCGATTGCATTTGATGTTAGTATCATCATCAACGACGAAGACGAGTAATGCTAGAGACCCCAAATATTCTACCAAAAATTTTACCAAATGTCTCACATGGGTGTGGGACCCACACAATGTGGGTCCCATGTGGGTCCCACACCCATGTGAGACATTTGGTAGAACTTTTGGTAGAATTTTTGGGGCCTCTAGCATTTTTGTATTTATTAATGAGAAGCAAAAAACATGTCCAGAAAAATTATTAGGTACTTTCGGAATTCAAACTCTTTTATCAATCATCATTCATTATGCTCTCTTATGTTTCTCATTCACTCAACACAAAATCGTGATATCTTGCTTTTTCTACCAAGCATAATATCATGAAATATTACGTGGTCGTCCTCCTAAAATACCCAATAATCACCCCCATTTCTATTATTATAATTGTAAAAATATCATTATCGTGTTATTTTGTACGAGTGTTTGGCATAAAAATTATGAGGTTGAACATACTTATTTTATAATCATTAGATATGTAATATAACTATTATAATATGAAATGGAGAGGATTAAGATCTAAAATTATGTATTTTAGTATTTTCTTTTATATAAATATTATTATTGATCACATAAAAAGATAATAAATTATAGAAATGTTATGCTACTATTTTGTATTATCATCTACGTATCACTGGAATATTTTAACAGAATTTTTATTTGTTTTCTTGATCAGAATGGACGAGAGATTGTTTTAGTTGTTTGTTCAGAATGGACGACGATAACAAACATTATATGTCCATCATAGGATTTTTTGTGTATATCATTTGTAAGAAGAAAAAAAAATTAAGTTAGTTCAATAGTTGTAATATATTTAATTTATTACTTCTTTCAGTAAAAGTTGAATGATCTATTAAAAAAAAAAAAAACCTGTCACTTATTTTTTTTAGACAAATATAATAAATTAAATAAATTACAATTATTAAATCAACTTACGTTTTTTGTCCATAACATTTTCTTGACTTGGTGCATAATGTTTGTTTTCAAGAAAATGCCTATTTTTATGCAATAAATGGACAAGAGATTGTTCTAGTTGTTTTGGCGTCTGCGTGTTCAGAATCACAACATATATACACAATATTTTTATGTTTAGTTGTATGCTTCCTTAATACAATGCATAAATCTTAAAATTCCATTGTGTAAATATTTGGTAGTCTTGTAATAACTCTTTACTAATTAAATTGAGACCCTTGGGCTTTGTTTGTTCGATCGTAAAATATTTTTTTTTAGGATGAATTACACTAACAGTCCCTGTAATTTGAGACTTGTGTCATTTTAATCCCTAACTTATTAATTGTGATATATTTGACACTGAATTTTAAATTGCGTTCCAAATAAAGACAATTGAAGACATTATTCCTCCATTTCAAGGGCAAAGTTGTCAATTTGATAAAATATAAAATAGTTTGACAAAAATAAATTTCAAAAACTTATTTTTAAATTTTAAAAAATTATTTCTACTCACCAAAAATAAAATTTTATAAAAATGATAATTTTTTATAATTTATTTTTTTTACTAAATTAATTTTTAGGATGTATTTGGATGATAATCGTGTAATGGGTGATTGTTTTTGTTGGTATTTTTAAATGGTTATCATATATTAGCTGGTTGTGTTTGTTGTTAACAGATATTTGTAGATGGTTATTATGTAATGGATTGTTATTAGGCTTTTAATGTATAATTGATATGTTTAATATATGAAATATTTTTAATTTTGAATTTTTTGATTTAATGGATTGGTTTAATAATGACATTGGCCCTGTTTGGTAGAGCTGTGGGAAAGTGATTATAGCTTATACTTATAGCTGTGAATATAAGCTGATTTTTGACTTATAAATCCCCCACTCAAAGAATAAATTGATTTTTGACTTACAAAAAGCTATAAGCTGTACTGTTAAGCTGAACCAAACACATTAAAATAGCTTAAATTAAGTTAAAAGCTGAAATAAGTTAGAAATAAGCCCTACCAAACAGGGCCATTAAAGTTGTTGCGATGTTTGACTTTTGAAAAAATAAAAACTAATTTAACGAAAATAAATATCAAAAAAATTTATTTAAAAAAATTATTTCTACCCTTCCAAAAGTTAAATTATATAAAAATAATGTGTTTTTAATTTTTTTCATCAATTTAATTTTTAGTTTCTTAGAAAAAAAAAATTGAAAATAGATTTTGAAAATCAAACCAAATAGAATTTTATGACCAAAAAAATTCTAACATTATTCATTAAAAAAAAAAAACCATTATATTTCAAACAGCATATAAGTTAACTAATTCAAAATAAGTTGTATGATGACTTTGCCCTTCAAATAGAGCAACAATGTCTTCAACTGTCCTTATTTGAAACGAAAAGTTAAATGTATCATAATTAAAAATGACCAAAGTGACACAAATTTTAAACTATAAAAATTGTTAGTATAATTCATCTTTTTTTTAAAAATATTTTTCAGTGTTTGGTAGCACAAAAGCTCAGTAAAATAATTTTTAAGTAAATCGTTTTACAGTAGGACTGTTTTGGTTAGAAAGATTTGAAAAAAAATTTAATAAGAAAAAAGAAAAAGAGCAATGATGCATCTCTTTAATTTTTGAGCTGAGCTCTAATGATATGACAGAGAATAAAAAAAATAAAAATAAATAAAATCAAGGTCAAAATATCACATCACAGTGGAGTCCACTCCCATTAGAACTTCTTTATTAGAGCTTTCAATCTTTTTTCAAAGAAAAAAGTAAGTAAAATATGTTTTGCCTAAAGTATTTTACCTAATTTTAGAAAAAAGTAGGCCTAATTTTACTTAATTTTAGAAAAAAGTATTTTACCTAATTTTACATATATATATATATATATATATATATATATATTTTTTAAAATCCTTCTCAAAATCCCAAAACTAAACACAGTCTTAAGGCCTTGTTTGGGAACAAACTAATTTAGTAACTTTTTAGTTATTTGGCTAAAATATGAGTTAAAAAAAATTAATATGTTTGGGATGATTTTTTGGCTTTTTACGAAAAGATATGCAAAAAGTAGGAAGAAAATAGAATCTTTGAATTTTTGGTATGAATTGTTGGTTTTTTGACTTTTTTAGTAATTTTTTTACTTTTTAACTAAACTGGTCTGTTGCCAAACGAGGACTAAGTCAAATTTTTTGAAAACGTGTAATGACATGAATCGTAATCTAGGGGTAAGCAGCGGATATACCGATCCGTCAAAACCGATCGAACCGAACCGATCCGCCGCATTTTGGACGGATGCGTAATGACAAGTGGACGATTGTGGATTGATTTTCTCAAATCTGCCAATTTGGCGGACGGATGGAAGATTTGAGATTCCTTTGGCCGCAACCGAACCGCCAAACCGCGAGCACCCCTAATAATTAATAAAACTTTATGTTTTCAATTTGTTTAAATATTTTGCTTGTGCTTTCAATTGAAAAAGAGTTTAAATATTCTGTTGAAAAAAAATTTTCAACTTGAATATATTTTTTGAATTGAAAAAAATAAACGTATTATTTATCTATATTTTTTGGTTTTTAAATTTAATTCTAAAAATAATAAATAGAAAATATGATATATGCTGGTTGGTTTTTGTTTTCAAAAACATATATAGATGTAACAATGCAGAGACATACAATCTCTACTATTGTTCTGTTCATGGTTTTGGTGGTTTGAATTGTTATTATATTTTAAGAACCACAGATTGTAATACTTTATGTGGATGAATCATGCTGTGATTTTAATATGTGGATGAATCATGCAGTAATTGTGATATTCTAAAGTTTCAAACTTTCTTTTTTTGGATGAGACATACAGTGATTGTAATAATTTTTTAAGTCATTGACTGTAATACTTTCTTTTTTTCTTTTTTTTTGAGAAAGTACACAAGTTGAATTATGTTAAAAATTTATAAAATCTTAAACCGCCAAACCGATTCGCATCCATCCGCCAAACTGTCAATCCGCTCAATCCACATCAGCCGAATTGGCGAACAGATGCGGATTGATTGATTTTCTTCAATCCGCCAGTCTGACAGATGGATGACAGATTGAAAGTTCTAAAACCGCAATCAACTTGCGCCCACCCCTACCCTAATCTACTGGTTCAGCTGCTCTACACGTTTGCCATGTTGATCATTTGTACTTTTTTTTGGGACTTCAGCCAAACATTGCAAAATGAACCCAAGGGCAACAACAATGAAAAAGAATTTTGTTGTTTTTTTTAAAACCAAACTACATATAATATTTTTCAGTTCCAAAACTTGGGAATTAGCTGCTGGGTTGCTAGTCGTGTACATGGATTAGCCGATCTGTTTGTTTGGAAAGTCATTTTTTTAGTGATTTTTAAAATATGAGGTAAAAAAATTTGAAGTGTTTGTTTGTTTGTTTTTGTTTAATTTTTAAAAAAGAACATGCAAAAGGTAAAAGAGAATGAGACTGAATATTTTATTTTTTTTAGAGGAAATTTCATTTTGCCCTTCAAATTATATTTCAATGGTCAATTTAACCCTAAAATTTTTATAATTTTAATTTTACATCTAAACTATTCAATTTTGGATCAATTTTGCCTCTGCTGTCAGCTGCCGTCTTTATTTGAAATTTCATTTTATCCCTCAAACTATTCCCAAAATATCAATTAGACCCCAAACAATGTGAAGTTTGGGGGTCTATTTGATATTTTGAAATAGTTTGGGGGTCAAAATAAAATTTCAAATAAAATTTCGGTGTTATGTCAGCAACTTCTGTTTGATTATAAATGGTAGCTAGCGGCATGAATAAAATTGATCTAAAACAATTTAGGTGTAAAATTGAAATTATAAAAAGGACGAGGGTTACATTGATTATGGAAGTATAGTTTTGGGGATAATAATTCTAATATGTAACAGAACTAGAAAGTAAAATCATAGATCATTCAAACAGAAATCTTAGGCACATATAAACCGAAAGCAGAAGAAATCTCAAACACTCACATGATAACACATTGAATATTTAAGTTCATGAGTTAATAAAGTACACTTATTCTGAAAATACATCCACTCTCACTCACATTAATACAAACATAGAAACTGTCTCATATGCAGATGCATAATAGTTTGTTGAAATAAAATAGTGGATGACAGGGTGGTGGCCTAAGCAAACAACATCAGATCAATGTTGGGACGGGGGCGAAATAATAATCATAATTAGGGCAATGACAGTCTGTGTGAGAGTGAGGAGGAGGAGAAAAGCAGCTGCCATAGTGGCAACAGTAACCCATATATTTTTGAAGTAATCACGCTTCAATGAAGCTTTTGCTCTGTTCCCCCATCTCTTGCAATAAGCGTTCACTTCGCTGCACATTTCAGCATAGTAGAACTGATTCACAATCATTCTTCCGTGACCCAGTTTGTTGAACATAAGTGCCACCTCTTCGTCATCACCCAGCCAGTTGTCAAGAACATCATGGCGACGAAGTTGTTTCACATCTTCTCTGGAGTTGATAAGTAGATCCATGAAGTATGTATAATCGGTGAAATATTGTGGTTCATCATCTGAGGAATGTTGCTCATAGGCAATGATGTTACGGAAGAATGTTTCTGTCCAATCATCGACGTTAAACTTTGGTATTTTAAAATGACCATCTTTGAAGCGGATATCGAACATGTTGAGGTTGAGCTTATCATCATCATCATCCTCCACAGCCTCGAACTTGATACCAGCGTCCTGAAGCTCTATCACAGACGGCATCTTAAAGCAAATTCTCTGATTCTTGCCTTGGCATTGATTTGACTTTTCTCTGGAGGAGGGGGGGTGGGGATGATAAACATTATGCAACAAGTCAAGAAAATGCTTGCTTTCAGAGACAGATTTATCTTCAAAATTGAATCTGGAAAAGTCTGACGTTTTTGGTATGATGCAACAGAAAGGATTCTCAGCCAGCTTCTTGAAGATGGAGGTTGGAGGATTTTGGGTCTCGGTCACGAGGGAAAAAAATTTAAATATAACAAAGAATGGAAGTTGGTTTTCAAGCCGCATCAAGTCACAGCAAATATGTGCTCTCATCCATGATGTGTTGAAAATGGGGTCGTAATCATGACCCATATCTTGTGATTGTTGTCCTTGTTGACTTTGACGATCAGACTGAGGCACAAGATCAAGAAACTCAACAATAAAGCAAGCATCATATAGCATCATCTTCACGAACTTGTCACTGTTGAGGTCATCATCGATAGGGTCTGCATAGTACTTGCGAGCTATTTTTGCTGGCTCTTTCATGGAATCCAAGTAATACTTTTGTGTCTGATTGGTACGTCGAAGGACTAATTTAAAATAACGCCCTTTATGTTTTTCCATAGCTAGTAGTTTGGGATGACCGTGGTGGTAAGGCCCTATGGAAACTAGCCTAGGTGTGTATGCCTCTTTATTTACATTACGCAGTTCTTCATGCACTCTGAAGATACAAGGTGAAGGTGGTTCATACCTCTTGTGTCCGGATGCTATACAGCGATTCTCAGACGACTTGAGCACCAGACGCGGCGTTACATCAGTTTTACTTTCTTCAATGCGGTCGTTATGCTGTTCCATCGCTGCTCAACACCAAACACCACTTGTTATCTGTTTATATAAACTAACATCTAAAACATGCAAAATGAGTCTTATTTATGTTCATTAACTAGAATTTTTACTTTAAAAAAAAAAATATATATATATATTTGTTATTTAGAATTGTAAAATTATCAATACTAGCTATTACATAATTTTGTATAAATTACGTGATTTTAGTATTTTTTTTTTATGAAGGGAATTTTATAACACACTCTTTTATGTTCCAATTACGACTTTTGTGATATTTGATTATGATTTATTATAGCGTTAGTTATGTTTTAATTATAATTTATTGTGATGTTAATTATGTCATTATTATTCAAAAGATGTTTGATTATCACATATATGGTGTTTGATTATGACTATTATGACTCTTTTTTTTTAAGTTGTATTTATTTTTTTTTTAATTATTACATTTATGATAATTTTTTTTTTTTTGATAACTCAGGTATCTCCAATGCACTGATTTTAAGGGAAGCCAGGACTAATCCTGATAATTACGATAATTATTAGGATTACAAATATGAATTATGATAATTATGACATTTATGATAATTAACATTACAAATATCATAATTTTCATATGATACACACCTTTAAGTAGAATAAGTTAACCATTTGTGTTACAATTTGAGGGAGTGTACCATATAACATGATCCTTAACTAATACGCTTTTTTTTTTGTCAATAGAGAAATGATAGCGGTTCCAAAGATAAGATCGAGAGAACTATCAAATAATGTTACGCATCATGAAATAAATATTATAAATTTTTTTATGAAATTAATCCAAGGTGATTGCATAACATACAATAAAAAAACTACATACTTATTCAAGAGTGGAGAATCTTCGGCAGCGTGTGATAGAGTTTTAGAATTATGATTTGAGAATAGAGTTGTATTTTGAGTTTGTGAGTTTTGAAATTATGATTTGAATGTGAAAAATTTGTTTGGTTGTAAGTTTTGAAAAGAGTTTTGAATTGAGTTTGAAATTTTTGATGTGATATATGATATTTGATTTAAAAACTTATAACGCATAACCAAACACACAATCCAAAATTCTATTCAAAGTTAAATAAAAAATTTTAAAAAAATAAAAAAATTTCAAAAATATTTTTTATTTAAAATATAAAAATAACAGGTGCCAAAAAAAAATCGGCCGGACGCTCGAAGGGACATCTTGGAGGATGATCGGGTAGATATGTTTTCAAAAGTGGGTGTTAAATTAATTTTTGAAAATTCTAACCAAACACAGCACTTTAAACCAAGGTGTGGAATTATGTTTCTAAAACTTTATCAAACACAGCCTTTTTTTTTTAATCAACAAAAAAAAAAATTATTGAAAATTTTTCATGATATTTCTTTTATGATACTCAGCATTATTGTTACCGAATTACCATTTAGAAAATTTGTTTGGTGAATGAGTTTTGAATTGAGTGGGAAATTTTTGATTTAACATATGATATCTGATATAAAAACTTACAACTCACAACCAAGCACACAACTCAAAAATCTATTAAAAGCTCATAATTTTTTTTTTAAAATTTCAAAAATATTGTTTTATTAAAAATATTAAAAATAAATAAAAAATTGCACTGTTCATAATTTTTTTTTTAAAATTTCAAAAATATTGTTTTATTAAAAATATTAAAAATAAATAAAAAATTGCACTGTTTAGGTCAACTGATCGGATGACTGGTCGGATGTCTAGGGGGACGACCGGTAGGCCAAATTTCAAATTTTAAAAACCCACTTGGAACGAGTTTTCAAAAGGAGGGGTGGAATTAATTTTCCAAAACTCAAACCAAATATCATACTAGAATGTAGGGATAGAACTATGATTACAAAACCCGTATTTTCATATGATTTTCTCTTTTGGAGGGGGATTTTTAAAAAAATTGAAAATAATATTTTTTTAGTATTTATTTTTATCTGAGTTATTTCTAATAATTATTCAAAAAAAAAATCAGAAAGTATAAAAATATGGAAAAAATTATACAAATAGTCCCTGTACTTTACACAATGTATCAATTTGGTCAATGTAGTTTCAATTTGCTCGATTTTGCCCCTTAATTTAATGGATTGTGTTATTTTAGTCCAATAAATAACGGTTGTTAAGTTAATTTAACGGAAAGTTAAACAATGTGTTAATTTGGTCCTTGTATTTTTCACAACGTGTTAATTTAGTACCTGTCAAAATCGAGAAAATTGAAACTACAAGGACCAAATTGACATATTATTTGACCTTCCGTTAAATTAATTTAACAACCGTTATTTATTGGACTAAAATGACACAATCCGTTAAATTAAGGGGCAAAATCGAACAAATTGAAACTGCAAAGACCAAATTGATACATCGTATAAACTACAGGAACTATTTGCATAATTTATCCAAAAATATGAAAGATTACTCACTCTGACTCATCCTCTAAAACCACTTTCAAAGGGGGTTTATCTTTCAAATATAGAGAAAGTATCAATATGGAAGATAAACATTATTCATTTTCTTATTATAAATTGCAAGTATACTCTTTGAGATTTGTCTAAAATATGAATTGTTTATTGTAATTTTAAAAATTACATCTTATTTTTTAAAATTTTTAATTTCATAACAAATGATTCCTTTTATTAACCTATATTTTTCTTTTTTTTTTTTAAAATCATTTTTCAAATTCATAAACCTCCGCTACTCAATCAGTCTAAACCCCAGTCTCTAAACATTCTCTTATGACACTTTAGGCCGTGATTATATATGTTCCAAAAAAATCAAAAAAAAAAAAAAAAACACACTGGGCCAAAGTCTAAGTTCCAATGCCTAGAACTAAAAATACCAAAATTTATGAAGTACAGGTACGAGTACGAGTACAAGTACTGGTACTGGTACGGGTACGATATAGGTACGTTGATACGGTAAAGTCTAAAAAAAATAAGATACGGGTATGCCTTGGTACGCTTTTAAAAAATATTTATTTTTAATTTAGAGTAATACAAAAATTAATTGAATGGTTTAATTTGTTAAGATCCAACCTATAATTAACATTTAATGTCAAAAATAAAAATATAAATCAAAATTAAATGTCAATATATTAAATAACTTACAAATCATAGTTTAATTTTAAAATCATGCTAAGCATAAAACTAAAAATAAAAAAAGAAGTCTAGTAAAATGAGTTTTATCTCTGTAATAGAAAAAAATATTGTTTCAATTGAGGTATGATACGGTTTGGACATATACTAGGTACGTCTGGATACACTAAAAATTAAGAAAAAAAAAATTAAATATATATTTTGTGCACCCAATACGGATATAAAAGTACCATATGAAATATCATATGTTAAGTCTTCAATACAGAATACGACATACTTCATAAGAGTAAGCGCAAGGGTTGCTAGTCATGTTACATGGATTGACTGATCTTTTTTTTTTTTTTTTTTTTGAACGATTGGCTGATCTAAGCTAGCAGCTAAATATGCTCCTATCCTAGGTTGCTCTACTCATTTATATAATCTGACTCTTCAGATTATATCATATCATACCGGCAACGTTGACACAATTGTAGAGAGAGAGAGAGAGAGAGAGAGTTCATACCTTGTAGAGCTCACAACCAAAAGGGTTCAGAGGAGCTAGAGGACTTGGGGCGTTTGGCTTTCTGGATTCTCGGCGTAGACAAGCTCTGTGTTGCTCTTTATATATCCTCTGTGTTCTTCCTCGACAACCCCCTTCTTTGTTTATGGATTTAATTTTAAAAAATTTAATTTTAATTTAGCTCACATGACAAGTAAGGCCAAGTTTGGCATGTCTTAAAAAAGACAAAAAGTCAAAAAGTCACTATCCTATTTAAGTCACATCATCTTATTTAAGTCACATCACCTCTCTAACACATTACTTCAAACCCAACCCAAACCCAACTCATATTTCATAAAAAGTCAAAAAGTGCACTTATTTAGATCATCCCAAACAACCCTTAAATTAGGAGGAGACTGAAAAAGTCAACGATAGATAAATCAATACAATAAAGATCCGGACTCCCTTTTTTTCTCATTCCCTTGACCCCCTCTCTCTCTCTCTGATTGGAGGTTTTTTTTTTTGGGCAAATTACAAACACCCCCCTCGAGGTTTGATAAAAATACAGATTCTCTCATGAGGTTTGAGGAATTACATTCCGCCCCATGAGATTTATATTTCCATAACAAATTGTCCCCTGAGGTTTTTATTTTCATAAAGATTCCCCCCAATTTTCCCTAATTTGTTATGAAAATTTGACAATTAGGGGGCAATTTATAATTTTTCAAACCTCAGGGGGGAATTTGTATTTTTATCAAACCTCAAGGGGGGTGTTTGTAATTTGCCCTTTTTTTTTTTCAATCACCACCCGCCACGTGTGTGTAGGGTGGTGATTGGAGGGGGTCTCTATCAATACTGAAATCAATAATACAATCAAACAACTCTCTCTCTCTCTAATATGAGTAAAAATTTAATATTAAAATAAATGTAATAAATAATTGTTTACTATTCATGAGTGAAATCAACAACTTAAAAAGTTGTGAAGTTAAAGATAACTAGTAATACAATAAATATAAATAACAAAATGCTACCTACCTTAATTTTTTTACTAAATTTTGGTGGGATTTATTTTCACGTGAGTGTTTGATAAAAAATTTATGTGAAATGACTCTATGCCTTATAAGGGTAGCCATCGGTCCGTTGGTCTGCCCAACTTACCTAGTCCAACCCGATATTTTTATGGTTTGGGATAATTATTTTACCCATAAGGCTGGACTGAGCTAAGATTTTGTATCCCTAATATGGGGAATGGCTCATCTCTATATAGGGTGGCCATCAACCCGTTGGCCCGCCCAACCCACCTAGTCCAACCTAATATTTTCACAGTTTGGAATAATTATTTTAGGGAGAATTACTTGATAATGAAGCAAAAAAAATTACAAAAATATATAGAGTGCAAGTGAGTCTATGGTGGGGTGCAAGTGTAACGTTGTGGGGGTGCAAGTGTAACGTGCACCCCTCAATGTTTGTGTATTTTCTTTTTCTGTGTCAAACTGTTAAGTAATTCTCCCATTATCTTACCTATAAGGCCGAGCTGAGCTAAGATTTTGTACTCATTTGATATTCAGGCTGAGTTCGGGATAAAGAGTTCTATTCCAGCCCAATCCAACAAACCCATTTATAAAATAAAGTAGAAAAAATGGAAAGACAAAAAAAGTATATATTCTTTTAGGACTTAAATTAAAATATTTGTTAAAAATCACATCAGCTTGTTTGGTTTCACTTTTTAGAATTCTCTTTTTAGAAAATTATTATTTTTTTTATTTTTCATGTTTTTTTTTCACTGATTTTTTTAATATTTTAAACAAAAAAATTTTAATTTTTAGATACGCCTAACATAAATACATTTAAAAAGTATAATATATGTGAAAAAAAATCTTTACAAAATTTACTAAATACCAAAAATATAAAAAAAATGAAAATTTAGTACATTTTTGTATTCTTGTGTATTTATTGATTTTTTTAAAAATATTTTACTTTTTAGATACATCTAAAGTACATCTAATAAAGTTTTAAAAAAAATTGCTTAAAATTTTAAAAATATTCACTAAAATAAAAATAAAAAAAACTCAATTTTCAGAAAATTGAAACCAAATACAGCAATATTTATTTTACTATTGAATTTTGTTAACATTCTAAATCAGGGCATTTATTCATAAATCTCTCTTCACCTATGTGTATTGCACTTAGTCTAAATTATTTTCTTATATTCTAATAAGTCCTATGAGTGACATAGTTGCTAAAATATTCCTAATAATAATAGGGTGAAGTGCGTATTAATGTTCACATGTTCATGATATGAACATTCACACTGTCAAATATTAATATTCATATCACCAAATTGCTAAGGGTTCAAAAAATATTTATAAAAGTAAAATTGACCATAAAACACCTTAAATATGAGAATTATGATTTGGTTCGCAATTTTTAGTTTTAGCCAAAAAATTACTATAAGTTGTCTTATCACTTTTTACTTTTCTGCACGTCTTTTCGTAAAAATTTAAAAATTACTAAAATAGCTTATTTTCAAACGAGGCCTAAATATTCAGATAATAGGATTTATTGGAATATAAGAATATATTATGGATTAATTGAGATACAAGTACTTGAAAATGATTTCCTAATAAATTCTCCAAGTAAATTCAAATAAAAAATAAAAAATTAATAACTCATCTATTTAGTTAAATCGGCGTATTTGGGATTTGAAATTTTTTTAAGGCCATGTTTGGGATGGCTAGATTAGGCTCAATGTTGACTCGGGTCAGATTGGACTTGGGATGTTCTTGCTATATAGTGCAAGTTCGGCCCGAGATTTGTCCATCCTATCACTATTACCATTGGGGGATTCTATTTGCATCTAAAAAATCATTTAATCAGCCCAGTTTTTCAGTACACCCTATTAAATTATTTAAAGTTATAATTTACTCGCAATACACCTTAGGTTTTTTCATAAATTATCCTTCAAGATACACTCATATAATAAACCAATCAAAAACTTCTTTGATTATTATCCATAGATAAAGCGAATCAAACATTACTGAATCAACCTATCACAAATTAAATGCACCAATTATTTCTTAAATCTGCGAATAGAATGATCAAATTCAATATGCCCGTTTGGATGTGTGTTCATTCTGTTTTTTGTGTTTATTTATGCTGTATTTGGTTAGAAGATTTGGAAAAAGACTTGTAAAGTGAAAGGAAAAAGGTAGGTGAAATATGAATAAAATATATTTACATTTCACCTAGGTTCACACACATTTTCTATTTTCTTTTCTAAATTCCTTCTAAAATCTCGCAACCAAATATAATGTTAGCGAAAAATACATTAAAGTTGTTTGGAGTACTATTTCCAAAACTAGTTTAGGAATAACTTCCTGTAACAATCCGATTTTAAGAAAAAAAATATACATAGTTTCTAGATTTTCAAACGTTGTTTTTCCACAAATATGAAGGATTTTTGAAAATTTGTTTTCACAGAAATTTTAGTCCATATTAATAATGATATTGATGATAATGGTGAGTTTTAATAAAGTAGATTGGAGTTTTAGAGTGTGAGAGAAGATAAAAAGAAAATAATTAAAATTTGGGAAAGAAGATGAAGGAGTTTAATATAAACAATAAGTATAAGTGATTAGAATGTACCAATGAAAAAAAAAATTAGGATTTAATATATATTGTCCTTATTAGTAAATTTATATTAGAATATAGGAACTAAAATTTTAAAATTTTAATTAGGCGTACTGAGTTATTAATTGGGTGCAAATAGAATCACCCATTACCATTATCCTTGATACTCTTCCATATTATATTTTATGATTCTACGCCCTTGTCCGTGTGTTTTCATTGCAGTGCAGCTATCATTACTGCGTATCTGATGAGAACTGAACTACTATCTAAAGAAGGTTTGAGGAAATTCGTACTGTGGTTCTATGTATTGGTATTTGCTTGTGGGCTTCCGTTTTTTGGCATTTTGAAAATCTGAATGGTGGTGATGAGATTGATGATAACCTCATATTTGTTTTATCATTTGCACATCATTGCAGATGCACTTGAATCTTTACAGAAAAGCTGTGAATTTGTTTGCCCCAATGATGGTTTTTTGGAACAGGTGATGCAAAGCAATTTTTCATGAAATTCTGTTTTATAAGCAGTGTTGCAAAAAGTGCTTCTAAGTTTTCCCTTTCAATGTGTTTAGCTTATCATGGACTCTAGATATTTTCTTCTTTCCCTTGCAGCTAAAAATGTTCGAAGGAATGGGTTTCAAGGTTGATCACGCTAGCCCTATATACAAACGCTTCCGTTTGAAAGTATTAGGTCTGAATCTTATTTACTTGTCGTTTCTATTCTTTTTATGTTTTTTATATTTGATTTTTGACTGTTACTTTTGTAGATATATTTGCTTTGCTTTGTTTCTCCTTCTAAAGATTTTTGTAGGTAAACTATGTTTTAAGTATTGATCATTGGTGACTTGCCACATCAACTAAAGCATTTTATTCACCTTGTATATTATAAATTTATGTGCACACTTGTAGATAAGTGAATGTTGCGCAGTCAAACCAAGAAAGAGAGAAAGAAAAATGGAAAATGTCTACTTGTACATATTTAATTAATGTTATATGAACATTTATAATGAGAAGCAAAAGTATATTCTGTTATTGGGCTTTCCATTTTCTGAAAAGATGTTGTGCCCCATGATGACAGGCGATTCTTACAATCGTGGAGAAAGAATAGACACTTCTAAATTTGGGGCTGATCCTGGCTTGCCAGCAGAAGAGGCCTCCTCCGACGTAGGTACATCTGGGAATAGCGGAAGAGTTTCTACTGCTGCATATCGTTGCAAGAAATGCCGGAGAGTTGTTGCATTGCAAGAGAATATTGTGGATCATGTTCCAGGAGAGGGGGAGACATCCTTTGGGTGGCATAAGAGGAAAGGCGGCAACCCTTTCAACAAGTGTGATGAGATTGAGTGCTCATCCATCTTTGTTGAACCTCTTCGTTGGATGACAACAGGTACAAAACATCAGCCCACTCCCTTCTATTTTGTCTAGAATTTCTGATATCTAGGCATATTGCTGAATAAAGGTGTAGAAATGGATAAACAAGCTATGAAAAGTGGCCAAAGCTTGGAGTCTTGGGCCCACATTTGATTTTGATGGGTACTTC